TGTCCCGTCTACCTGAACTACTGTATACAAAGGACCCAAAGCGGAAACTGATTTCGCCATTGGGATTTACAAAGGTCCTTCTTTATGTCATATTTACGGTTGTGTACATATCTGATGTTTTAGAGGTCCGTGTTTGCTCTGCTCCTTCTTTTTATTGTTTGCTTTGAGATCAAATACTGTTAATAATCTCCATAATATTCTAGCATATTATTTTAATCATTTACCCCAAGCTCTCTGATTGGATCAAACTTGATCACATGATAATGTATATAACAGCATATAGACTTGCGTTACTATTTCTAGAATCTGATATGCATATCGATTTGATGTTTCTTAGAATGGAAATAATTTTCTGTAAAACAAAAATAGTACTTATTTCACAATTATAACTACTACAGAATATGACTTGATGTTTCTGAAAAAAAAATTTACTATGTACAACTTTACTTGTATTAATATTTTTTTCATGTTTCGTAATTGATGAGACGTAACAATGCCTCGAAAAACATATTGAATATGTTTGTCAAAAGTTGATACAAACATAATCATATGAATTAAGTATTTTGAATAAATGAATCCTCTAAATAACTACGTCAATATAAAAGAAACATATTCAAATCAAACAGCTTAATTCATTTTAATCTCTAGTCTCTAAGTGTTAAAGAGAGAAAACTTGGGCCTTGTTCCCATTATTTTCAAATTTTGTTTTGTCAATCTATGTAAAAAATAATATAACAAACGTAGCCCTTTAATTAGGTCAATCCATAGATATATCGACTTCACAGAAAAGCATATCAACCTTGCACTTCGTTCTCGGTAGATATGCTTTTCTGTGAAGTCGATATATCTATGGATCGAGCTCATCAAAGGGCTATATTTATATAATATTTCATCCATCACTGTTTGTTTTCTTCCTTTTTCATTTTGTACAAGTACAAGAGGCCCAAGGGCCTTGAATTGCTCTTCTGATAAATTGTACAACCTATCACTTCTATTTGAAGCCTCTAACCCTAAGTATTCTAAGAGCCAAGTTGCATCAACTGACAAAGTTTGATGATTCTTAGCCAATTATAACTGAAGATATTTTAATAAAGCTATAAAAAAAACCATAAGTAGGTCACAATGACCTACTTTAAGATTGAAGTTTTCTGAGGACTCAAGATGCAGTAATAGACACAGATTGAAGATTCTAAGCCAATAAGTATGTGAGATATTCAAAAGTAAGTCACCTTGACCTACTTTTTCATCTACATTCTTGGAAAACCAAAATGCATCAACTGACAAAGTTTGATTATTCCAAGCCAATAAGTACTGAAGATACTTAATTATAGCCATAAAATGTTAAAAGTAGGTCACTGTGACCTAATTTTTAGTAGGCGATTTTTGGAAGCCCAAAATACATCAACTGACAAAGTTTGATGATTCTCAGCCAATATGTATCTGAGATATTCAAAAGTAGGTCACCATGACCTACTTTTTGGTTGACATTCTCTGAAAACCCAAGATGCATCAACTGACAAAGTTTGATGATTCTAAGCCAATAAGTACCAGAGATCCTTAAATAAAGCCATAAAATGTCAAAAGTAGGTCACCGTGACCTACTTTTTGGTCATCACTCTCCGAAAACCCAAGATGCATCAACCCACAAAGCTTGATTTTTCTAAGCTTATAAATACCTAAGATACTTAAATAAAGTTATTAAATGTCAAACGTAGGTCACCATGACCTACTTTTTGGTCGTCACTCTCCGAAAACCCAAGATGCATCAGCTCACAAAGTTTGATGATTCTAAGCTTATAAATACCTAAGATACATAAATAAAGCTATACAATGTCAAAAGTAGGTCACCGTGACCTACTTTTAGGTCGTCACTCTCCGAAAACCCAAGATGCATCAACCCACAAAGTTTGATGATCCTAAGCTAAGATACATAAAAAAGCTATAAAATGTCAAAAGTAGATCCCCGTGACCTACTTTTTGGTCGTCACTCTCCGAAAACCCAAGATGCATCAACTCACAAAGTATGATGATTCTTAGCCAATAAATACCGAAGATACTTAAATAAAGCCATAAAATTTCAAAAGTAGGTCATCGTGACCTACATTTTAGTCAACATTTTTCAAAGTCTCAAGATGCATCTGCTGACCAAGTTTGATGATCGTAGGTCTAAAGGTAATCAAAATATGCCTTTTAAACAATGTGAAAACATATGCCTGTAAAATTCAAAAAGTAGGTCCCAGTTATCTTCTTTTTCATAAATATGTTTTAAGGTCCCAAGATGCAGCAATTTACAAGATTTGATGATTCTAACCCTCTCAGTGTCTGCAATAATGGGATTAAATGTTTTAAAAAGGATAAGTCATAAAGTTCAAAAAGTAGGTCAAGGTGACCTACTTTTAAGTTGACGTTGTTCAAGGACCCAAGATGCATCAACTAACAAAGTTTGATGATCATAGGCCTTAAAGTGTCCAAAATATGCCTTCAAATCAATTTGAAAACAAATACCCGCAAAATTTAAAAAGTAGGTCATCGTGACCTACTTTTGAGTTATCATGATGTGAAGTCTTAAGATGCATCATCTTACAAGATTTGATGATCCTAGTCCTTATAGTAAGCAAAATATAAACGTTTTTATCAATTGTAAATTTAGGTAAACTTTGAAGCGACCTTGAGATCACGCCCTTTGTCCCAGGGTCATGCCTTGAACAATATTTAATCTTCAACATATTCTAATCCTTGTGTGTAAGTTTGGTGAAAATCTGCCGGGTGGTTCTGGAGAAGAAGATTTTTTAGCAACCAGTACTTTTGGTTGTGTTTTCCTGATTATCTCCCTTTGTTTAAGGGTCCCAACCCTTATTTTAGCACAAATGGTAGCCCTTGGGCCAAGGATACCCTGTGACAAATTTGACACTGATTGGCCAAGGCGTTCTTGAGTTATGGCCCATTTTCTAAAAAGTTGACGCACACCGCACAAATGGCCATAGCATTAGCTCTTTGAGCCTTTGGCTCAGAAGAGCTAAAAATGTGATTTACTCAGGGTCCAGCTCTTTGGAGAAAGGGACGGTGTGTATCAGTGTCAGAGAGCAGAACGGAGTATATGAAGCCATACCAAGACATTGTCAAGGAAAGCTAACTTCCATCTGCCAGGACAAACGCACTGGTGAGTGAATGAATTCAATTTAACATTAAGTTAATTTATAATAATTGCCCGGGATATCACAAATCATTGTTTAAATGTTTAACAAAACTAGCCACAGAAACATTCTATAAATCATTTTTTAGAATCTGAGATTTGTAAAATATTGTATTAAGGCGTTTAAAAGCGATTCCAATGATCATTTAAAATATTTTCACCTTAAACTATCTTTTTATACCTAGATGCAATTTTTCGTCATGGGAGCAAAGTCGATTCACAAGAGACGCCATCAAAAACAAACTTCAAGGGTTTGTCTTTGTTTGTTTTTTTTTTTTTTTTTTTTTTTTTTTTTGATAGAAATAAACGTTTTTCCACTGATTTTCGGTTTCCAAAATGTGATTTTTATGTGTTTAAACGAATGTAGCGATCATTGAACATTATAACCCAATATAGTATTTTTATAATTAGACCCAGTTTTCAGTAGTTTGAGCAAAGTGACATCGCAACATAATTTCTCAAACTCCAAAGGTTTGTCTTCAGTTCTTTTGTTAGAAATTAATTTTTTTTTCTTATTAGTAATATGTCTTTTACGTGTTCAAAAGGATTATATTGATCATTAAAATAATTTTTATCTTAATTTTTTTTCCATGATTAGAACCAGTTTTCCGTAGCTGGAACAAAGTAACACCGCAACAGGCTTTACCGGTCTCAAGCTCCAAAGGTATTTCCTCAACTCCTCTGTTAGAATTAAGCGTATTCTTCTATTACCAATATCATGAAACTGATATTCTTTCAATATAACTGAGTCTCAACATGGATATTTATGCTTGTTTCATGCTTCAAATCAACCCAATTTTCACAGTGTGCTAAACTTCACATATAGAAGTTAGGTATAAAATCAATTAGCAAAACAATATTTTGATAAACATGCTAAACATAAATGAAAATGTATATTACCAGTATTTGATTATTCTATAATATCGGTTAATTAAATACTAATCATTATTAAAATAATCAGTAGATGTGCCATTGATATACAAACCTGCTGGGTTTTGAAACAATATAACCGAATAGAGTATTTTTATAATTAATAATTTTTTTATTAATAATTTTTAATCTAAAACATTTTTTATGATTAGACCCAGTTTTCCGTGGTTGGAACAAAGTGACCCCCACACAGGATTTACCTGTTTCAAACTCCAAAGGTATGTCTTCAGCTCCTTTTTTTATTTGTTTTTTTTGTTTTGTTTTTTTTTTGTTTTTTTTTTTGAAATTAATAATCTTCAAATAAGCGTATTTTTCTGATTACAAATTTACAAATATTATGAAATTAATAATCTATCAGTATCATATGATGTTTAATTTATGCGTGTTTCATGCTTCAAATCAATCAATTTTCACAGTGTGCTAAACTTTATGAATAGAAGTTAGGTATAAAATCAATTAGCAAAACAGTATTTTGATAAACATGCTGAAAATGTAAATCACCAGTAGTTGAATTAATCTATAATATCGGCTAATTAAATACTAATCATTATTAAAAATAATCAGTAGATGTGCAATTTATATAACCTGCTGAGTTTATCGTTTATAAAATATTCTTAAGGTATCAAATTGAGTTAAGAAAACGTGAATCTTATCAAAAAGGTCACTGGAAATGAACATTGGTTTAGCAAGCCCTTAAGGAATTAAGGAATTAATCTCGTAACCAACCAGTATTTATATCCCAATAGACGTTTAAAATGATACCTTATTTCTTAGTAATTTTACAAGTGAATATCATGTGAATATAAGTTTATATTTACATTTGCAAATGTTTTCCTTTATATAACACTCCTGAAAACAATGGTTTTTGCGTATAAAAACTATTTAAGAAATGAGATATATTACGTCTTGAATCTGATTCATTTTTTTAACCAGAGTTTCATTGGGTTTTAAAGCCTAAGGCACATGAAATTTCTGTCACGTGATCAAATTCTAAATCCCGAAGGGCGTTATAGTAGATTTGATCACGTACTGACTCCATGTCATTCCCCAATGAAACTAGATTTTGTTGTCTCATTTGTTTACATATTTTAAGCATAAAATCATTGTCGGTATAATGCTCAAAATAAATAAATAAATAAATAAATAAATAAATAAATAAATAAATAAATAAATAAATAAATACTGTGTGTATCAAGCTGTATTTTATTTTTAAAATGAAAATTTCTTAATTCACACAAATCTTTTTTTTTTAACTTTCATGTGAAGTTTGCAAGTTCAATACAATTTTATAAAATCACTGTGACTTTTTTTTCATGTCTTTTTCATACGAAGAATTCAACATTAATATCAGTGACTACTGTTTTTAAATGCTATATGATATTTATGTTTACATAAGAGTCAACATTCCTGATCGTTGGGTGTGCACTGATCGCCTTGTCCGGAGTACTGGTCGTCGTCAGCGTAATCTTCTTCATTAAAGCTAAGAGGCTCAAAAACCGTATGTTTTCATTTACATTAGAACTAAAATACTTCGTAACGTATTTAGAACTGAACAAGAATATTATGTTTATTTTTACTTATTTTATTTTTTTCTTAAAGGCGTTATTTATTTTTTTTCCATTAAAATCACAATTATTTTTAGAGGCAGAAATGAATACGATAAGGTAAGTCTGTTTTTCCCAAATTATCCGTTTGTTTTTTTTATGTATCATATTACATTCAATTTATACCTTTTTAATTTTTTTGTAGAAGCACCTATGAATCGACTGTTGTAAAAACAGCAAAACCCCCTGAGTACACCTCCCTCAGTAAGTCATTAAGGATAGAACACAGATACTTGTGGACAGGACCCCCTAAAAACTCAACCCCGGGGCTTGTTGGACATTTTTTTCACAAATATTCATTACACTTATTCATCATAAGTACAACAGAAAAACATCGATAAAACCCCAAAATAATCGCTCCACAAAAAAATACCCGACTATAATGTATAATGGGGTATTTTTTGTGGAGCGATTAATTTGCAGTTTTAACGATATTTTTCTACTGTGTTTATGATAAATAAGTGTAATAAATATAATTTGTAAAAAAAAAAAAATGTCCAACAATATTTGGGGGGGGGGGGTCCTGTCCACAAGTACTTTTGCCTATTACCTGATAAAAAAGCATTTTATAAATAAAGCATATATGTAACTAATATAAGATTCTGAAAATAAACGTCTCTCTATTTTTGAATTCATCATTATAAAATGAAAATTTATAATCTCTCTGTATAAATTAAAAATAACTCTCAGAAGTGCAGAACGAATCTATGTAGAAATTTTTAGTTCATAGACCTCTTTCACAAATACTGCAGCTTACAATTAATTTATAAACATTTTTAGATGACATCAGGCCTTCTCATCAGCAACCTCAGGAAATACAAGACAATCGCGAGGTTTTATACAGTTTACCTTATACATAGGTTAAATAGTTATTTAAAATTAAAGTATATTTCTTTTGTTTTTTAAACGATTTTTATTGAGAGAGAGGGAAAGATTATATAAAGACTGGTGGCACCATTTTGAAATTGATGTTTTTTAAAAATATTTTTATTTTTTATGTTCAATAAGCATTCATTGTATTGATCACTTACAATGTATCTTGCATTGTATAGTATTGTAGAACATTTCAAGAATATTAATGTAGCATAATTTTTTTTTTCATGTTCTGAATTTATCTCATTATATGCTTATTATACTTCTTCAATATGTCTTCATACTTTTCATAACATGAACGATCTTCTTTATAAAAAAAAATTCATTACATTGTGATAATTTCACTGTATGCTGGTATACTTTGATGTAAAGAATGCTATGTTGATAGATAATTTGTTGCTTCAACATTTTTATTACATTATTGATGATACTTTGAGCTTGTGTGCTTATCTAACATACTGATTATTCTTTGAGAGTTGATGGTTTATGTATTAAATACTGATACTTGACATTATACGCTTGTGCTTATTACTGATTGAGCTTCAGCTCAGCGCAAACATGGACCTCTAAAACAGAAGTTAGACAGCTGCCATGGATGAAAATCTTATAGTTGTTACATTGAACGATTTATTCATAAAGTCACCTTAAAATTCGCCAGTGGATGATCCAACCTCTGATGTTTTGGAGGGCCATTTTTACTCTGCCCCTATTTTGTATTGTTTTATGGATTTTTTGATCTTGAATGCTGTCTGTTATCTCTATATGTTTCATTTTAAAACATCGACTCTGAAAAACTTTTTAAAGAATTATGACATATATCTTTTATATCAGATATGTAATGCTTTTTAAGTTTATATAGTTTTGCTTAAGTTTGATAATGTTATTTTTTATTACAAGAAGTGGCATGGATTTATGCGAAACAATAGTATTGTCAAGTGCGGTTAATAACGGAAAAATTCAAAAATTCAATGTGTACGTAATGACCTAACAATTAGTGTAGGAAAGATCAATCAGCATTTGACATAATGATAGATTGTAATTTTTGTATTGTGACAAGGCCATTGTATCAACCATAGAACTTTAACCGACACTTCTGATATTCTTGAATTATCAACTTGTTTGTCAATAACTTACCTTGTTTGAAAAACAGTTCATACGTAAAGCATGCTAAGATTGCGTATTGAATCAACTGAGAGATATAAACATCTTAAGCATACAATAAAGGTATATCGCTGCATGAGTAAGGGAAGTTGACGATTGAAAAATCTTTGTTATAAATCTTCATAGTTAGAATGCGATTTACATCTTTCTCAGTAGCATGAAATATATAAAGATAAAGGACAGTATTCGAACTTAAAAGTCCCTTAAACAATACAAATCAGGAGCAGAGAAAAACGGACATCTATTTAATCTGGATAAGACTTTGCTCAGGCCAGGTTCTTTATGACCTTCCATTGATCCTCCAATACCACGTTATTCCCAAGCACGATTACAAGGACAGACTGACAATGTACTTCTATTATCCAGTACCGTTTGCTTGCGTACAATAGAATAATAAAAACCATAAAAAGAAACTAACAATTACTTACTTTTCGTGCATCAGTAAGAAACATGAGAATTCTAACTTTTATGAATGCACAGACACAAAAAAAATAATTTACTTATAGTCACACGCACAAAATAAGGAATTAAGTCCCGATGAAGATGGATTGCGAATCGAATTCTTACACAGAGTATATTAAATAAGAGATGGAGTTTCTTTTGTTTATTTTAGATTTTGATCCAAGTTGAGAGAATGCAGTTTTGTTTACTCAATACGTAATATATATATATATATATATATATATATATATATATATATATATATATATATATATATATATATATATATATAAATTGAAGATTTTCACGCTTGGTCACATATTTTTAATCATAGATGAAAAATTACGTTTATATTTTATATCACGATCTTAAAAATGCATTTGTAATGTATTGTTTGTTTTCCAGTTCTCCTTTTTGCGGAAGTAGGAAGCGTTTACATTTGTAATTTTTTTATATATTGGGAAAAATGTATCACATTTGTACGGATTTCCTCCATCAGATTTAATATTAAACACATGTTATTAAATACAATATTGGGATTATTGTTTGAAAGACGCCTATTTATTCATATATGATCTACTGAATGCAATAGGTGGTCACGGCGGTACGATATTGCATAGGGAATATTGATCAATTGATTGTGTGAAAGTTTTACTAAATACGATTTATATTGTACATTGGAATAAGAATCAAAGTTTGAACCTGCAATGGAGAGGACCTTTCTGCTTAGACGAGATTTTTTACTTATTTTGACCCTGTATCAACAAATATTCGCTTCAAGTACAATTGATGCAAAAGGTAAGAGTGAACATTTAATTCAACTTACTAAAGTTTTGCACTATTACATTGACAATTTCTGCAATTTCCCTTTGATGGACCCACTGTAGTAACCCCAACAAGCTTTAAATTGACGTATTTTTACCCTACTTGATATGCAGAACATTTTATTTCCTTAAAGGACAGATGATGCAAAGAGAAATAGGGATGCCTCGATAAGTATATGTACTTTTACCTATTTTGGTTGTAAATGATGCGACATTAATTTTTTTTTTCAAATAATAGAGTTTATAACTTTCATTGATGTTCATAAGTGAACCTTTATGCAAACATCCTTCTTAATCTATACGATTTTTTTGTCGCTTAAAATTTTATTACTTGAAACTTTGAATCAATCATATTAAAGATGTGCACATACGAGTATTCTAATTCATAATTCTAATTCATTTTACTCATATAAATAAACTTAAGTTGTTAAATTCAGGGTTCTTGATTACAGTTTATTGGTACATGTGTCATCTGTCCTTTAGGGTACTATTTCAAACTATACAGATCCATAATTACAAAATTGTCAAAAACGAACTAAAAGATATCTCCAATCACACCTTTATCAATAAATTCTTTGTTTCGAGCGATTTGCCTTACACCTAACATGTTTGTACGTAGACCAGACTTCCAGAAATTGTCTCTTGGTAACATCGAACAACAGATTATCCGTTGGTCTACCACTCACACTCACAGATATTCCAGCTCTTCGACGACCGCCCTGCAAAATAACGACAAGGGTATCTCATCAGAGGAATATTCAATTGAATGAGGCTACTGAAACATTCACATCTTGGTTTGAATTACTTGGTAACAAAATTTTCTTATTATCTCACATGTGCTTGAGTGTAAAGCTTTTAAAGGGTTTCAGATTGTAAATGTGTGTTATACGTGGCGTGTCATGCATTGAAAGTTGAATTTTTTCTTTATTTTTTTCAACTTTTTTAGAAGTACAATTACCTTAAATAAACAGACACCATCTGTGATTGAATCATGGGTTCTTTAATTAAGAACCACAATCATGATATATAATCAAAATATTTAATATGTTTGGAATCCGAAACAAATCGACAAAAATTATATGAAAAATTCTTTAATAAGTTCCTTTTCCAACTTTATCTACATTGTTTTCACATGAGATGAAGTTGTTGGCGATAACGCATATCATTCAAGCTCAAAAAAATTTAAAATAGGACCAGAGTAAACACAGACCTCCAAATCATCAGTGGTGGGATCAGTTGCCATGTATGAGTAAGCAACCCTTGACGACCGGTCACATCCACCGTGTGCTCTTGTGTGAGACACTAATATGGACAAAATATGTCCTTAATATGATAAAGTCATGCTTATAAAATGAGATAATCCCTTTTGAGTTTGAATATTGTTCGTATTATCTCCACATACTAGTATTTCACCATAAAACAATTTATTAACTATTCTTCATAATTATAAATCATTTTTAAAAAAATTGTAAGTTAATTGTATTATATATGAAAAGATGAAGTGTTTGTCTTTCAACATTTTTCAAAATTATTGCCTATCTCGTCCAAGAGTTTAACAACTGCATGAATATTACGTATGATCCTAAATCACTATATATGTAATGGACGCCGAAAATGCAGGAAATAAGTATCCGTTACCTTCATTTCCATTTCAATCATCTTTCTTTAGCTTAAAGGGGCATGGACACAGTTTAAACTGATTTTTTTAAAACCAATTTTAATATTTACAATTCCTACCTAAGGCATCATCTTTTGATTAGCAAAAATTTGGACGTCATTTGTTGATTATCAAACAAGAAACAGAACTTAAAGTTCTTCATAACGTAAACAAAGCTCGTGTCTTGTTGTTGTTTACATATTTATAACAAAATGAAATTCAGCAGATTAATAACTGTAGAATTTTATTTAAAATTAACTTTTATTTGAAATTATCTACATCGAACGAACATATAATAGTATATTAAACTGTTTAATCAAAAACATGACAAATACCTTGTTTACATAACAAACGTTTGGGGCTCTAAATCTGTCTCATTTCTCGACAACTGACGTTTAAATTTTTGATAATCATTAGAATGACCCTAGTTATATATTTGTAAAAATGAAAAAAAAAAAATTTAAATTTTAGCTGAAACTGTGTCCATGCCCCTTTAAGTTAATATAATTTTTTCATTACATGTATGTAAGCTCTCTTATGTCATAAAGATATCATTCTTATTTAAGTAAAAAGAAACATGTATTTGTATTTGCGTTCTCTGGAACTCAAATGAATCATCTTTCATCCTTTGAATTCTAAAAGTTTAATGGTGTAACATATTGCTTTGATTGTAATATAAGAAAAATTAGATTTAGATAATTTATTTCCATCCCGTACTTCTTTCCAT